CGCCGCGTCTCTGGATGCTGCGGCTGGCGCAGATGCCGCTGGCACACGCCGCTCCGCATGGCTGTCTCCAGCACTACACTGACAACAATGGTATGCCACACAACACAACAACAGTATTTCTTACGACACAACACGATATACCTGAGACGAGATGGAATATGATGGGACAATAGAAGACACACACAATCTGCATGTCTGTCCACCAATATAGCTTTGGAAAATTCAATCGGATTAAGAGCAGGTGTATATCTTTGACTAAACTATTGTCGATTGTTTCTCAGCCAATTTAACTGTTTAGTTGCATAGCTAAAAATCGAGTAGTCTGCACACCTCTATATAAGCATAGGAATCAAAGCGTAACTAAACAATTGTGCGATAGTTTAGTCAAAGGTGCGCACGCTCTTAAACTTAATTTTTATAGAAACGAAATTGGCGCAGGTCTGTTATTCAGTGTAAAAATTGCTAAGCGCCAATAGCCTATTGGTTTAGGGTACGGACTACCGATCTTGCGATCGAGGGTTCGTTCTTGCCATTTCACTACTGTCGTGAACCATATCCTAGCGCGATCTTTTTCAAGCGTATCTGGAATGGTTAAAGGAACTATTAGTAAATTAACAATAGTCTACTAACACTTCTTTAAAGAATGTCATTCTATCATTTCCAGGTACAATAAAGACGTTCAATTACGCAGTGAACGGGCGACACCTCGCCTCACATGACTATAAAGCGTGTATCAGGAGGAACACCGGCTTCTGCGCCGTCCGCTACCGGCCCTGCGACCCGCGCTCCTTCAGGATAGGATCCTCCTCTCACTCTCCTGCTGTTGCTACTGGTGAGTAGTTTTTCTAGAACGTTCTAGTGTCATATTTATTATTTTAGTTCATCCTGACATTCGATGACTTGATTCTATCCAGTCTAACGGAACTTGTATATTATCTGATGAAGTGATCAAAGTAACTTTTTAATATTATTAGAGTTATTCATAACTGAAAAGAAACGCATAATCATGAAAGTATTAAGAATGTGGCTGCAAGGGTGGAGGAAGCCCGAAAAAGTACGGATTGTGCGACAGATATGTTTAAGGAAGTGGATTCAGAAATAGCTGATAGAGATGAGAAGACAAACTAGGTCTTCCGTTGCGCTAAGCCCAAGTTGAAAGCTAGAAAGTGATGTAAGTGCAAGACTTATCCGAAGTTCAGACAGTCCGCAGATGGGTGAGCTGATGCCGGCCAGCGAGCAGACAGAAGATGACATCGAGGGCTCCGGCGCTGAGCCGGCTGCTGCAGCGACCACCCCTGCGCCCTCCCTCGCTTCCAGGGTAACTATTGAGTATATCAATCAACACTAAACATCATTTAACCAAACTATACAAGCTTCTGCTGATTCTCTCTGCGTGAAATTAAAAATAAACCAAACCCTATAAAACAAATATAAACAAAGCCTATGTGTTCTTTCAGATTATCCTCTACATCTATACCAAATTTCATCGAAATCCGTTCAGATGTTTTGGCTACAACCTCTAACAAACATCCATCCATCTAAACTATCACATTTATAACGTTAGTATGAAGTAGGATTACCTTAGTCAGATTGAAATCATTAATTCCTTAACCTGTTGATTTTAGCATGTTTCTCCATTTCATAACTAGCAAATCATTTTTATTAACATAACGATTCTTTTAAATCATATATTTCTATCCAGATGTAATTACCTGATTTAATATAACATTACGTTAACATTATAAATAAATCAAATCTAATACCCCGTAGCTAGTCTAACATTACCTGGGTGTAGATCTGGAGGTTTATGTGGCCGTCTTGGCTGTGGGGTCAGAGGCGGTCTGCGTGGTCCT